TGGACTTCAAGAATGTACCGATCGCTTTTAGCAATCCCGAATTTTTAATTTCTACTTCGTCGCGGGATGTTCTCAGGCTTTTTAGATTCTGTGGCCATGCTCAGCCTTCATGATCACTCTCATGTGATAAATTTTTTACTGTGGCATCACCATTGTTCGCATATGGACCCGTTGCACTGTTTACACAGCTAGTATCTGTTACTCCTTGCCTTACTTTATCTTCATCATTTTTCAGTTTAATGGAGTCAGAGTTTCCCAAAACTGGCCATGCTTTGATTTGACTGACTTTTTAGTGTTTTACTTTATATTTGTAGTTTTGATTACGACTTTTTCAGCTATGTTGAATGTGCATGGCAAGTGCCTAAGCTCATCGATGAATTGCTATTGCGAATGCCTATGTATCCGGCTGTTCAAACGTACTTAGATTTGGATCATACGGCGCCCAACTTTACGGTAAGCTTTTTTTCTCAAGAACCATTGCGCCTTCTCTTCATGTTCACATCTTTAGGCTTTGGGGAGTGTTATTCTTGTCAAAGCTAGATGTATTGGCTCTGTATCACAGTACAATTTCAAAACATCATCGTATTTGCCTGTTGTAAAAGGCGTGAATATATTGCTAGATGGATTGGAAAATTCTCCTCTAATTATTAAAAAGAAGTTCCCGAAAGACTTCTGGCCAACTTTCAAATGGGGCCGTAAGGGGTACATGCAGACACGCTGGAAAATAAACAATCTGTAAGTCATTTAGAAATTTCTGATCATGTTCATATCGTCCATTTTGAAAGTAGAACCAAACTTTATTTGAATGAAAGCCACTTCATATTAATTAAGAATTCAATAAATGCGCTATTCAGGATTTATCAGTAAAGGTCACAAATGCGACTTGAGAATTAGTATCATATCCGCTAGTAGCGAATGACTCAAAGTCGTTCAATCCACCTATATTCCCTATAGTGGGACGATACTTTCACGTGTCAGATTGGTGCAAGATGCTAGGTTGTTTAACAGGGTTCTGGTGGGGTGAGAAGGAATAGGCCTATTTAAATTAGTTTGCGAAAAAAAAGGATACGACCGGGTTGCTCACATTCGTAGTGATAATGCAAAAGTAGCCCATTTTTAATGTTTTTGCCTTTTAGTTCTGTCATAAATTCTGTAGTTTGTTAATATGTGGCTGTTTGGTATGATTATGGGTCCAAATTGCAAATTTCTTGTCGGGATGAATTAAATAAATTCTATGTTTTCGGATTTTACTCAACATCTTTACTTACTGCTCACTTCTTAGGTCTTTAGTGGAGGATCAATAAACTCTAATAATAACGAAGAAACGATACGGATAGTCCTACAGTGTGATAACAGATCTATAGTAGTTATAGTAGTTAGTCCATTTTCACATTCTACTTCATGTGGATCCCAAAGTTAGTTGCAGAAAGTTCGGTATGATGTTCGAATTGCATTCCTGCAATTCGAAAGTTACTTGTTTGAATCTTTTTTCCGACTTTTTTGCATTTGTTTGGAAATAGAAAGAACTGAAGAGATGAAGAACTGCGTATTCGTTAAACCAACTTTGAACAGCAATATATTTGATAGTGTTTGTAAAAAAAAATCAAATTAAACGTGGAAGGCTCCCTCTTCGTCTGACTGATTGAAAGCTTACGTGCTGTTCAATCCGGGATGTTAGAGTTAGAGTACAGAAAAGGAGCAGGAATTGACGCTGACTATACATCTCATCGATCCGCTTTAGGGATCATAGCTTTCCTAGCTGCTTAGAGTTTTATTATGTACAAAACTTACTCCTTAGTATTCCACCAATAATTGCAAAATGGTAAACTCTTTTCACTCTACTTTCACCTACGCCATTTATTACGAGTTTACTCAGCTTACATGGTTGTTTAGAATACTGGACTTTGTCAATGTTCACCTTTTTCATGACGAATCAAATTTAGCGCTAATTCATGAGGTCTGTGCGTTTTTATCTTGTTTTTCAGTTTAATGAACAGATTACATCCTTTTCAGAATCCATTCCTGTATAGTACAAATCGCAAAAGAGCACTTGATTACGTATTAGATCAGCTAACATCAAGTGGAAGCTGGAGTACCTCTCACTGCTTTGTTTTCGGAGACTTTAATTTTCGTCTTGATTCGACATCTTTCCTCAACGTGGGTTCACTTTTTTTTCCCGTTTTTGTTTAATTTAGTTAATGTTTCTATTATATATTTTGCCAATTCAATGTTTTTATTTTGTGGATAACCTATGTGTTTGTATAGCAAACACAATCACTCCGATTTTT